GCTGCATTCTGGACAAGCTGAAGTCTCCGAATGCTCTTCAAGGGCTGCCCCATGTAGAGCACGTTGCAATATACTTATGGGATGTAAGTAAGTAAACAAATAGACACAGATGCCTTTACTTTCTTAATCCTTTGTAGACCACTTCATTGGATCACATGCCATAGTGGCATTTAGCACTGTTTTGCTTCAAAGAATGATTTTATCAGGAAAGAATGCCAGCAAAATGGAATTCCTTGAAACAGAATGGTAAGGACTGTTTCATTTAGGACTAAAGATCTAAGTCATTTTCCAGTTCTGGGTAAATATGCTCTGTGAGCAGTTCTCTTTGATCTGATCTGAGGCCAATGCGGTTGATTTACTTGCAGTAACTGCTAGCTCAGGGCCATTGCTCATTCCAACCCTTGAAAAGAACTGTGGTATAACGTGCTAATTGTCGAAAGAGTAAACGAAACTGCAGTGCTCAGGTTAAATGGGAATTAAGGTAATAAGTGGGATATCAAAGTGATTTAATTATGGCAGTAAGTTATTAAACTGTAGTAAATCACAAATGAATTATTCTTTTAAAGAAAATCCAGAGATTCATTAGCTGGATGACATCGTTGTTCCCAATTCTCCTGCAAGTCCTTCATCTTTTGTACTATTGCATATATCCCTTTAATGAAAACCACATCAGTTGCACTTGAAGCATTGCATTTAAAGAAGCATCCTCATTAATTATATGGCTCTGCTTTGTAGCAGAGAGAGGCAATAATTCTTTGACTTAAGGAAAAGACAAGCAGACATTGTGCTTTTCAGAATGCTTTCATTCCCACAAAAAAACCAAACCAAACCAAACTCTGTCAGTCCTGTACCTCAGGAAATGGTTTGATGATAGGGTTCTTTTTTAAATTTAAAAATACAGGCACATGCACCCAAATGAAAGAAATACTTTAAAAAAAACCTTTAATTTCACTTGTGTGAGTTTAGTTCTTAGGATTATCATCTGTTAGAGACGAGGGTACAAATTGGAAACATCTGATTTTGCATCTGGCAGGCACACAAGTGCAAGTACAAAGGCAAACTCTGGAGCTCACAAGCTGAATTTACTGAGTAACAAACAATATGCTGCGGAATGAACCTCATTGTCTCTTTGGCTCTTGATTTCAAACCAGTTATTTGCAGTTGAACCATTCAGTGCCACTTAGTCTATATTGTGCCTCCAATAAGTAAAACCATGGATTGAAGGTCCGATCCAAGTAGAGAGGGGGGATGATTGAAAGGTCTGTCTGGTGATGTAAGAGGTTGCTGAGGTGCCCTTTAGATCCCACTTCAAAGTTCAACCGTTTCTTCCCGCTTTCCAGGTTTTCCGTAATATTTGGTTTCTGTCCTAGGATACAGGTATTTATCTCAGCAAGTGGGAACAACCAAAGTGCCTACGTTCTCTGCTTGAAAGGTGCCGTAAATACTCACTCACTTAGTGAAACCAGTTCACCACACTCTTTTGATTTGTGTTATTTGCAGCTACAAATCAAAAGCAGCATGGATTAAACAGGGGAAAGGTCAGACAGGCCGTGAAAATCCATGGTTAGAACTGTTAATGGCACAACTTTGGATTTTTCACTGCCGGATTGATCACTCCAATTAATCTTATTTTCTTACATCTTTACTTGCAAAGCAAAGAGATGAACGTCAACAATTTTTTCCCAATGAATCCCAGATGAAAAGCCTCTTTGTAGAAACTTCTACTGGCTGGCGTGCATTACATTTCACCCTTAGTTGGAATACAACTCTAACAACTGGTGCACAACTACTGAAGAGAGAGATAAATTATGCTTTCTTTTCCATTTGTAAAGCAGCCTTTTCCACAGTGCCTTGGTTTTAAGCTTTTTTTTCTTAATTGTTACAATTTTGTAAGAACTTCTAGCTGCACCGATCATAAATATCAGGATATAAAAAGGTTGATTTGGGCACACCCAAAATCTTGTCTGCCTCCAATGAGAATAGCTTACAGCTCTTCGAAGAACAGACATTTTTGATAGATTGCTTGACTTTATTATTGATGTATAATGGCATCTTTTGTGACATGGAAATTGCTTTTTTTTTTTGAGAACTCTAAAAATCAATGCTCTCTTCATAGCACTAGAACAGTTTTTAGGATCTGGACCAAGACTTCGAAAGAATCCTTTTGATTCAAGACCTTGGGAACTTTAGTGCTGCATTTCCCCCCCACCCCCCAGCTCTCAGTCAATCTGATGGAAGGGAATTTGCTTTTGAAATGCCTTTCAAAGAAGAGGGTTTCAGTGAAGTTTCATGTGTGGAACGGAAGGCATCTCCTGCTTTGATTATGTGATGGAGGGGGAACTTCTCTCAAGGGATTTTTTTTAGATTGAGAACTGCAGGCGGCTAGAGAAGCTTCAGAATGGTGGAATGATCTATAACAGAAAACACCACTACCACCAGCGGAGCCATCTCCTGCCATCTCCAACAAGGCAGCAAACTAAACTGTATATTATTAATTTGTGGGAAGAGATCCAAAAGAGAACAAAAAAACACACAGACAAAACAATGCATAGGAAGAAGCAAGTTACCGAAGAAGAAAGTGCTAAGATTCATGTCTGCCAACAAAATTGAGCTAAAAGATGATTACAATGAAGAAGCCTAGGAGGAATGTTCATAAACCTGGGAACGAACAAGGCTAATGCAAGTACAAGAAAACTTTAATGGGAAATCTAATAGGGATTCTAAGAAATAATTATGGTCAACATGTGATGAGCAGCTCAATAATCATAGGAAGATCTCTTGTTGAGATGGGTGGATAAAAGTATGGTAGGCATAATGGACTGAGGCCTACCAGTAATCTAACTTTTAAAAGAAATCCATTTAATTTATCTCATAAGTATGGAAGATGCAAATTGGTTAAAGCACCACTTAGAAACCAGGAAATTGTGTTAATTCTGCCTTTGGCAGTCACTCTCTTTCAGCCCAAACCAGGGGTGGGTTTCTCGCCTCGTTCCAACCGGTTCGGTTGGAACAGGGCCGGCGGCGTCCTTGTGCACGCGCGCGGTGCACGCATGCGTACTAGCATNTTTTTTGCAAAAAATGAGCAAAAAACAGCCAGTTTTCTCAAAAGACCGTTTTGTTAAAAAAAAAAAGGGCATGCATAGACTTTAGGAGGCTTATAGAGTGCTCCTGGGGACTGGGGGGGGTGGAGAATTGCTCTGCACTGCCATTTTGGTGAAGGAGGTGGTGTTTCGTGACGCAAAAAATGTTGTACTCAGTGTATAAGACGCAACCAGATTTTCAGCCTCTTTTTTAGGGAAAAAGGTGTGTCTTATACTCTGAAAAATACGGTACTTTTTTCTAAATATCTACTGATCTGGAGAATCCACTCCTTATGAGTTACTCCCCCGCAATACAGGACAGTCCTCGACTTACAATCATTTGTTTAATGGCCGTTTGAAGTTACAATGGCTCTGAAAAAAGTAACTTATGCCCGTTTTTCGCACTTAGGACCATTGCAGCATCCCCATGGTCACGTGATCAAAATTCGGCTGCTTGGCAAATGGCATGTATTTATGACGTTTGCAGTGTCCCAGGTCATGTGATCACCTTTTGTGACCTTCCGACGAACAAAATCAATGGGGAAGATTCACTTAACACAGATTCACTTAACAACCCTGTTGCTAGCTTAACAACTGCAGTGATTCACATAACCACTGTGGCAAGGAAGGCCGCAAAGTGGGGCGTTTAACAACTGAGCCTTGCTTCATAACGGCATTTTTGGGCTCAGTTATGGTCGTAAGTCGAGGATTATCTCTATGCCCATGTGTCAACTAGGCTGAATTCTGGGCAAACTCTGATAAGCCATAAGGTAAAAGTTCTCCTTGCACATATGTGCTAGTCGTTCCTCACTCTAGGGGGTAGTGCTCATCTCCATTTCAAAGCCGAAGAGCCAGTGCTGTCCGAAGATGTATCCGTGGTCATGTGGCTGGCATGACTAAACGCCGAAGGCTCACGGAACACTGTTACCTTCCCACCAAAGGTGGTTCCTATTTTTCTATTTGCGTTTTTAACGTGCTTTCAAACTGTTAGGTTGGCAGAAGCTGGGCCGAGTAATGGGAGCTCATTCTGTTATGCGGCGCTAGGGATTCGAACTGCTGAACTGATGACCTTTCTGATCGACAAGCTCAGCGTTTTAGCCCCTGAGCCACCACATCCCCGATAAGCCATAAAGAGGCTAATTGTGATCATTTCAACAGCTCCTTTCCCCCTGTACCTTCTTCCCCCAAATGGTCACCTTCCTATTTGCCAAGCACGGAAGCTGCCTCTATGGTAAATTAGAAAAGGAGGTGACTTTTAAGCAATTATGGGCAGAAGTTGATCATTGATCCTGATTGTGGCTTGTGACAATAAAAATGGAACATAAGGAAGACTGATAATAGCTTTTCCTCCTGGGCAATTACAGATGATTTATCCCAACTTTCTGGTGATAACCCTCTGTAATTACAAGCTGCATTGAAGGCAGGGAAGCCAAGAACCAACAATTCAGCTTAAGGCCCAATCGGGGCAATTTCTCACAAACTCTCCTGCTTAGAAATGTCATCCTGAACGTGGCTCCCTTTTAAAAAATAAAATAAAATAAACAATAATAATTAACACCGAAGACGGCACAAAATGTTTTTAAAGTCTGAAGGCCCACCGTGCCAAGCTACGAACAGTGCCAGGTGATGCCCGCTCGGTTTACCATTTAGACGCGTAATGGTCCAGTTCTTCCTAATGGCAGATGGCACGCTCGGCAGCTCAAAGACAAAGGGGCCGACATTTGGATCGATGTCAGCATCCGCGGCTGTGATGTTGATGACATTCAGATTGGGCCTCTCACATATCTGGGCCTCCTTTGGCTGAAGATCGGGGGCATTATCGTTGATGTCAATTAGGTAGATCTGGAGTGTGCCGGTGCCGCTGGCTGGAGGGATACCTAGAGAGGGAGAAAGGACCACGTGAAAGAGCAGCACAAAGAGTGGCCGGCGGAGAGCTTGCTCATGGCGTTCCATCTTGTGAAACCACTTGGGGAAAGGACAGAAAAGGCCAACCACAACAATTATGGGGTTGAGATACCACCTCAGTGGTGGCTTCCGGATCCCGTTGCAACCAGGACAGTTGGAACGGGCCCGGAGTCACACACATGGATGCACACGGTGCGTGCATGCGTCGTACCTGGCTGTGATGCCTCGGCAAGCCTCCGTGACACTCCAGCTGCTCAACGGAGCGTCACGCAGGCACCGTACGCGCCATGCATATGTGTGGAAGTGCCAAAGGCTTAAAGGACAGGTAAGGAGCTCGGGCGAGTGGGTGGGCCCTCCGGAGCACCATACCGGAATGGTACACAGTGCTCTGGGCAGGCTCCAGTACACCCGTACCGGGGCGTACTTCCTGCAACCGACCACTGTACCACCTACACGAGGAAATCGTAGAGCAAGAGCCAGTTGGGTCTAGCGAAGGAGGCACCAGGCTAGAAAGCAGATCATGAGTTCTGGTCCCACCTTAGGCACAAAACCAACTGAGTGACCTTAGGCCTGTGATGGCAAACATATGGCATGCGTGCCCCAGGTGGCACCCGGAGCCCTTTCAGCGGGCAACCGAGCCATCCCCCCAGCTCAGCTCCAGCAGCCAGCTGATTTTCAGGTCTCTGCTGCGAATACAGGAGATGTGCATGCATGCGTGAGGGGAAAGCGTGGGGGATGTACATACTCCTGCGCCCTGTTTTTGGTCCCAGGAGGGTTCAGGGCAATGGTGGGTTGCAGGCGGTACGCCCCGGTACAGGCGTACTGGAGCTCGCCCAGAGCACCGGATACCATTCCGGTATGGTGCTCTGGAGGGCTCACCCACCTGCCCGAGGTCCTTACCGGTCTTTTAAGTCTTTGGTGCTTCTGCGCATGCGCATGGCATGTACAGCGCTTTCGCGACACTCCGCTGAGCAGCTGGAGCATTGTGGAGCCTCGCGGAGGTGCTAAGACGCATGCGCGTGCATCCATATGGATGCTGCTGGACCTGTTCCAACTGTACCGGTTGGAATGGGATCCAGAACCCAGGGAGGTCTGTTAAGCCCAAAACGGGGAGCAAGGGGGATCACACACAGAGGGGGCATGGAAGTTTGCACGTGGATGTGCAGGGGGAGCACAGGGGGTCACAAGTGCATGTGCAAAGGGCGGGGCACACAGGGGATGTCATGTGCGCGTTGCATTATGGGTGTGCACTTTTGCCATGCAATGACAAAAAAGTAAGCCATCACTGCTAACCTCAGCCCAATCGCTCTCTCTCAGCCCTAAGAAGGGGGCAATAGCAAATACCACCTTTGGTTGGCCACGCCCTCCTGGGCCCGTCATTCCTTGTTGTATATGCCTTTGGTTTTTAGCTCAGCTGATTTGCGTAGCAGAGTAGATTACCGCGCCTCAGCTTAGCTAAAAAACAGCTCAGCTCACCAGCGCTGATACCGACGACGGTCTTTGAGTGCTGTGCACATGCACGAAGCGCTCTCTCCTACAATCGGTAGGAAAAGATTGGGAATCCCACCGCTGGAGTAATAGCGATGACTGAAATCATCTCACGATATATCGATTCATATTTCGAAACCTCCTTCCAGGGATCTTTCAAAGTTTGTCGCTAAAATAAGGTTTGACTCTAACTCAAGTTGCCCAATCAAGTTCTTCGTAACTTTTACGCAGGTTTTAAAACCCACCAAAATTTTGATACAATTCTTGGCACACACTGACATACATATGCATATTTACAGTTTCAGTCCTTTCCCTCTAGTTAGGAGAAAGAGAGACCACATCGTCATTTCCTTCCTTTATGAACCGCAGGGTGCTTTGTTTTGGATATATTCACTCTTTCTTAAAACAGCTCGATTTTAGAACTCATGTTGTGTGAACCGTTTCTTCAAGCGTAGAAAGAAAATAGCTTCTCGAATCTTGATGGTTTCTTTGTCAAAGTCTTTTTTTTTTTAAAAAAACCTTCCGACTTATGTCTCCTGTTTGTTTTGGCTGACTAAGAATCTCTGAATCCCCCCATGAACCTTGGTCTGTCCATTTCTTGCGGCTATTATATTAGGCCTCATAGGTTTGTATCAGCTTGCTAGCTGTTGAAGTTTTCTCCAGCTTTCCTGCCTCAATCACTCTTTGGATTTGCTGCAAAGCAGAAAAATCCCACGGTTTTAATTGCATTTGCCCGAAGTTATCTATAAAGGGGATGTTTAGGTGAATGCTTGTCTTTCACAAATGTCAAACGGAAATGAAAAATGTTAATGTGAGTCCTCTATNTGCTTTGGATGCATTTGTAAATTTTCCCACCTGTTGTGTGCGTTTTTGTACTGTTTTAGTTGTGTAACTTTCCGGCGGTTTTTTCCGAGCCGCTGAAATGCCAAAGAGAGAGAGGAGGCTTGCAAAAAGTATCTGCTTTTATTTATGTCTGTAGTAAAAGCTGCCTGACAAAACTATATCCAAAACGTACAAACAAAAGCATGTAAGGAATAGCCGTACCCTGCAAAAGTGGCTCAGAGTATTATATACATTTTAGGGAGAGAGAAACAAAGTTTATCCGATCAGAGACAAAGATTCGTTACTGACGTGATCTTTAAAGCGTTCTTTTGTTCAAGCTCCTGTCTCTGTCTACCTTATCTGTGGAGTATTCCTATAGCCTCGTGTAGGGGGTGGCTGCCCCCCTTTGCCGAGTTCTTTTTCGGCATAATCCTTTAAGGATTTGTGAACTGGGAAAACTCCCTACTTTGGGAGGCAGTTTATCTATGCAGCCTGCTATTCCCGTGTGACAATTTCTTCTTCTAGCTTGGTTCCTTTATCTACGGGGCCTCGTGTACCCGTCTAATAATTTCTTCTACTAGCTTTGAAAAATGTGCCAAGCTTTAAAGCCAAGAATAGAAGCGAGACGCAGCGGTGAGATAACGTTTGCAGTCCGGTATTAAGGTTACATTTTGATAGGCTAGAAAACAATTTCTGACAGTATACAATAATATAAGCGGAAGCGAATATTGATTCATATCGATTCATACGCTCCTTCGATTGGTTAAGGATTCCCGAGCCGGGGCCGCTTGGGTTGAGGAAGGGAGCTGTAGAAACTAAAGTTTTTGGCGCAAAGGTCTTAAAAAGAGGCGGCTGCACGTTTATTAGCGGCTGCGGCCAGAAGGCAAATTCTGGCTAGAATTAGTTTGCAGGAATCGGCCTCAAAATGCTGGGCTGAAAAAAGGTGGTGGTGAACCTTCAGCTGACCTAAATTCTTAGCCGCTTTTCCTACTTGCGGTTTTCAAGCTGACAAAAGCATAAAACCGGTTATTTTGCTTCTGTTGACTTAGCTGACACACGGCACTGACTTTACTGAAGAATTACTTTTTATTCTAACTAACCTTGTTAAGAAATTGCCAATATTTTGAGGTGAACGGGAGCTTTTATGGAATTGCACGCTTAAACCCGTAAAAAGCGTCGTGTGGCTCCCTGCCCCGCCCATCTACCTTGCAGCTGATCTCATCCAGAGGTTCCTTACCCCGCTCCGCCCCTCCAGGCCCCGCCCTACCTGCAGATTGCTAACAGGTGGCCATTGGGAAGCCTCCCGTCAAGGGCGAGGTTGTGCACAGCCTCCTCTTCCTCGCTAGCTTCTCTCCTCGCTCTGCCCGTGCAAACTCCTCCTGTTCTCGGTGTGACAGGAGCCCCTTTGGGCATCCCTGCCTGGAGGTGCCAGCCTGCTTCTTCTCAGTGGACGGGAGCTATTGGTTGGGCCTGCTTAGAACCCACCTGTAATAAAGGGAGCCGGGGGAGGGGAGGTCACACGCGCACAATTCTGGCCCCACCTCCCCTCCATTCCATGTGTGTGTGAGGAGGAGATCCTCTTTTCCTCCAGGGGGAAATGGGAATGAAGCCGCAAGGGCAAAGGTGTTAGGAATATTATCTAACAGTTGGGTTGGCAATATGTAAAATCGTGTAACAATGCTATACCTGTTTCTTTAAATCATACTGTAAAATGCGATTGGTTGCTGTTTCCTCAATCGGCCGTAAGGAGGAGCCAGAATGACTGTTAGCTCTCTGGTTGTTAGATGCTGGCCTGATCTGATCTGAGTGTTTTTGGAAGCTGGCTGTTAGAAAGTGCCGTGAGCTATTGTAAGTTTTGCAACTGCTACCATTGCCGTTTGCAAATAGCTGACGTGACCTGCTAGGGCGGGGGTCTCTCCGAGATGGACCCTCGGTAAGGAGGAGGAAGGCTTGGCTTTCACAAGTCTCTACGAAAAGATGCGAATGAATCGGCTTTTGAAATGCTGTCATGTCGGTAAAGGAAACATCTGCCGCTGAGCATTCTTATACTGTGCACGCCCCACCCCCACCCGATTTACGTCCATCCTTGGATGCTGAATTGCTACCCTGGTTAACGGCTAACCGCTTAACAGCCAGCAGGCTGCCGCATACACCAGACAAGGAAAGGGGCAGGTTTTTTTCAAGATCTCATAAAAAACAATTTTATTATGCAAATGCAGGATGTGGGCTAATTCCCCAGCTCCTAACCTGCTGTACGTTCTCCCCAGGGGTCGGAACTACGGCCTCCTGTGCTCGAGAGTCTGTGACTCGGTGCTGTTATTTTCCCCCTCTCCCCTTTTCTAGGGGGTATCTTTGCTCGCTGACTAATGATCAAACAAACCTACAGAACTGGGAAGAAACAAAATAAAGACGAGGGCCGTATTGTTTTAAAGTTGGAAGGCTTTGGAAGAGAAGACCTGGCTGATAGACGGCTTCCGTTGCTTTTAAAGTTTCAGCTTGAGTTCTTCCGGACAGCGTGGCAGAAACGTTTGGAGAGTGTGCGTCGAGCGTTTTTGGTCCAAAGCCAAAAATTAAAATGAAAACCTCTGTTGTTTGGATCTGAAAAATATTTCCTTTAATTGTACGCATCTTACTGTGAGGAATTTGTGGGGTTCAGAGTCTCACGTCCCTGCTCGGTTCTTGCTCTTTAGGTCTCACGCACCAGAAATATGAGAAGGGGCTCCGGAAAAGGCCATCAGTCTGTGGGTTCTAGGACCGACTCGCTCAGAGCCAGGTCCCAGTAATGCTCAGTGCCGTGTTTCTTAAAATGCTCCCGTGCCATGTTTTCCGTAGGACACTGCTTGAATTTCATCTCGCCAAAGCTCCGCTCCTTTGCCGTGCCCTAAAAGGACGAAGAGAAGGCAGGAGAGAGTCTGAGCAATGCGAGGGTTGCCTCGCGGGCCCTCTAAGCAATCCATCGACTGGAGGCTCGCCTAAATCCCATTTTCCTCTCCCGTGGCTTCCTGGTGAAGCCCCGAGAGATTGGCTGAGCACAACGTGCTAAAACCGTAAACCGTGGTTTACGAGTCGCAGCTCGGGAGATGCCAGGAACCAAAGAGAAAGCGGGTTCTGAAGGACCGATCCTACACAAAGCACCCTCGGTTGGGATCCTGCAGGTGATTCTCAGTCCTGCCACTAAAGGGGCATGATAAAAGGCAGGACTTTCTTGGTACGACCGAGAATCGCCGGATTCCTCGGTTGGGCCGTAAATATTACTCACCTCCCAAACCAGGGAACATTTGTTGGTTTTTTTCATAGATTCCTCATCAGATTCGTCGTCATCTGCAAGAAAAAGAAACTGCTTAGGGTGTAAGAATGGGGAAATAACTGAAGATGGATTTGTCTATTCAAAATACATACTGCGTTTTACAAATTGCTTGGAGGTATATTTTAAAAGTGGAAGAAAGAGGGAAGTATTTGAACAAAATTGGGAAAAAGATGATATTCCTACGGATGAAAATGTGACTAGGAAAATATTAGAATGTGCAGAAATGAATAGGTTAACGCTTGAAATTAAAAAGGAACAATAGCAATAGCAATAGCAGTAGACTTATATACCGCTTCATAGGCCTTTCAGGCCTCTCTAAGCGGTTTACAGAGAGTCAGCATATTGCC